AGGAGAATATGGAGGGATGGTCACTGGGAAGAGGTAACTATGGGGAGGAAGTGGGAGGGGAGCTGTTGCATTGTGGTAACCTGTGGTCAATGACATGAGACAAAGTATATGTGAACTGCTCTATGGAAAGTGAATTTGCTCTGTAAATTTTCACCCAAATCACAATAAATTAAAAAAAGAAAAATAAAAAATAAATAGTAGAATCTTTGTGGTAAACAGCAGATGTTCACTGTAAAATCTTTCAATTTTACTGTTTGTTTGATAAAGAGTTCTGGTAGCATGGTGCCTAATGCATTTGACTGCTCCTTACCAGGAGAATGGCGGTTCAAACTCACCAGCCACTCCACGGAAGAAAGATGGGGCAATATTCCGCAAAGATTTACAGCCTTAGAAACCCAAAGAGGGTTGAGTTGAAATTGACTCTTTGGCAGAGTTTGGTTTAGTATGTTTGACACTTTTCATACTGTTGGGAAAAAAAGGATGCATTTCCTGCCCTTGAAGGGTTTACAGTAGAGGAAAGAGGACGCTGAGGAATCATCACCACCATTTGCATTTCACTTCACAATTTTTATATGCACATTCATTGGCATTATTTTACATTTGACCCTCTAGCAACACCTTGAAGAAAGTCAAATTTATGGGATTATTGTTACCTCACAGAGAAAGGTGTCAAGTGTCAGACCAGGCAAGTGACAGGCCCAAGGTCACAGAGCAAATGCACAATCCCCCCTGGGATTCTTTTCCTAGCCCTGAATCTCCTCCACACTACCACACTGCTGCTCAAGAGTAAGTCCATCACAAGCTGGAAATGTATGGTGAGGGGAGGCTGGGAGAAGATTGTCCCTCTATTGGGAATGAGAAACTACTTGTAGGTGAAGGACAGAACTTCAGAGCAGTGGTGGATTTTGATCTCAATCTTGAAGGCTATGGAGAACTCAGTCATGATATTATGAAAGTGGAGTGCAAAAGGGCATTTCAGACATGGGGGACAGAGCCTTCAAGGAGAGAAGTTTGGAGAGTCCAGAGCAAATGTGGGGAATAAAGAGTATTTTAGTCTGACTAGAAAGCAGTGGAAAGGAACTGTGGTGGTGCACTGGTTAAGGCATTTGGCTGCTAACCAAAAGGCATTGCTTTGTACCCACCAGCCACTCCATGGAAGAAAGATGAGGCAGTCTGCTTCCATAAAGATTTATAACCTTCAAAACCCTATGGGGGTCACTATGAGTCAGAATCGTCTCCAAGACAATGAGTTGGATTTTTTTTTTTTTTTTTTAAAGAAAGTAGTGGAAATACTGTTTATGAAGAGGGGTATGCAGAGCTAAATTGGCAAAGAGACTGAGGCCAGACTGTGGAAGGCTTTGAGTGCCAGATGAAGAAATATGGAGCTTGAAACTGGAAAGGTAAATTGGTGGTGGTGGTGGTGGGGAGAAATGTGAGTGGAAGAGGAATGATAAAGAATCTCATAGACAACAGCCTCCTTACAGTGCTCTTCACTAGAGGAAGAAGGGAGTGAGGAGGGGGAAGTAAAAGTGGAGAAGAAAGGGCAAATGTACAAGGCAGTTTCAATCTTTAGAGAGAGAGGGAGTCCCAGGGATGAGGCACCCAGTCCTAACTTACCCACAGCCATGTAGTGGGCATCAAAGCCTGTGAATCGTTCCTCATTGGAGAAATCTGACCGAAAAGTGATGGACATGAAGGAGCCAGGGGAAAGGACTGCTTCTTGGCCAGGGGTCTGCTCTGTGTCCGTGGTCTCCCTGCCACAGAAGATCGCCAACACTTGGTCTTCAGTGTCTACCTTTGGAGTCAAAGGGAAAGGGAACATGATAAGCAGCTTCCCCAGGGTGCTTCTCTGCTGGTCTCCAGGGGGAAAAAGGCCGTTGGCTGCTCCTGAGTAGAACAAGCAGCCTGCGGAACCCAAGGGAAGAGGATTTGGGGGTTTGAAAGACACACTGCAGGTTAAGTCAGTGCAACCCTCAGTCACTGTTACATTTATTTTGTTTAGTTTCATTAGACGTAGCTTGATGTTTGTCATTCCTGTTGACAACCAAAAGGTTTATTTATTGGAATTAATTCAGTGTTAAAATTAAAAGTATTGATAGCTTCACAGATGGGTTCCATATGCAATAGCAATATACCACATTTCCAAAGGCAAGAAATTATATCCACTGTATCAGTCTTTCATTGAGCACCCAGTGTGTCCCTGCCACTGAGCAAAGCAGTGATGAGAGAGGAGTAAGACATATTTCTTTTCACAGGGAAGCTGTATTCAAGTTGAGGAAAATAGACACAGGCTGAGTGCCATGGTGTGACAAGTGCTTTAACTCACTGTGAATGCCCTCTGAAGATCCCCCATTAGAATGTAAATCGCAGGAGGACAGGGCTTTGTTTTCCTTACAGATGTGTCTTTGGTGCATAAACAAGGCCTGACACATAGTAGATACCCAATAAATACTTGTTTCAAGAATTAAAAGTGCAAGATGTTCTGAGCCTGGGAGTCTGTGGGGAGTGTAGAACACATATTTGGAAGGATAGGTCGAAATTAGATGGTGGTTGATCTTGAATGCCCTGATAAGAAGTGATGCTTAATTCTGTGGGTAAGGGAAGACATTGAAAACCTTTGAATAGGGAAGTCATGTAATCAGTACTGTATTTAATAGGTAGCCTAAGTAACACAGAGATGACTGAAATCATCCAGAAAAGTGTGTGTGTGTATGTGCGTGTGTGTGTGTGCGTGTGAAGATACAAAAAAATGCCTATTTGCTGAAATAATGCCCTGCTTTGAAAAAGCCAGAGGCTCTATATAAATTCAGTGACCCAAGCAAAGATCTAAATTGGTTGCCTAAAGCTGATTTTCTGTGGATTTGGTTTGTGAATCACAATACAGTATCTGGTTGGATTATTTATTTGACTATGAATACCTGGCCTACCCCCTGGCCTACCCACTACTCCATCATGTTACAACTAATCCAATTCTTTAAGACTTGTGTTTGTGTTTGCAACCTCTGGACTGCCACATTCATCAAGATGCATGAGAAAATTCCTTACCAAGAATGATTTCTCCTGCATTTCAAATGTATTAAAGCAGAATTCTCAAAGGCTGCCTATTTCTAGTAGTTTCTAATGGATTCTTTCTATCTTTCTTTTTTTTTTTTCTCATTAATTAAGTATGTCAAAACTATCATGCTATTTGACACTCTGTTCTGAAATTAATGGTTTATTTATCTAAAATAAGTGGAAGCTTTAAAGAAAAACAGTTTGCCCTGGCAACAAAACTCAAGGACAATTAATCACTAACTTTGGGAATTAAAGTGTAAACAGAAGATGACATCATGTTTTGCTATTTATTCCTCTTTGGTGCAGACACCAGCTGAACTCACACTAGCCTTATTACTGTACAATGTGCCTTTCTGCACACAACTGAAATGTCACTTCTTTGAATGTCTCAGATGGTGTGTTATTTTCATTAACTGAATTTTCCAGATAGCTGAAGGTTTACCTACTAACAATTAATAATGATAACAAAACAGAACATTTTAGATGTATGCTTTTCAAAAGTACTTTACAGAAATCCTTGCTTTCTTAAGTGAAACATACTGCCCTTTCTTTCTCATCCAGAGACATCATTATGAAAGTCAACTATCATGATACTACATTAAAATGATCAACTCAAGGTATTGAGTTGGGTTGTGTTGCTTGCCCTGCATTGAATGTTCCCAGACTATAATGTCTTTGAAATTCTTTTGCCTCCTTAACACCAAAAAGTGCAACACACTGCGGTGGAGTCAGATCCAACTCGTAGTGACCCCTCCTTGGGTTTCCGAGGTGGTATCACTAGGGAAGTAGATTGCCCAACCTTCCTTCTGAGGAGTGGCTGGTGGGTTTGAACCACCAGCCTTCTGGTTAGCAGTCAAGTGCCTTAGGCAGTATGCTACCAGAGCTCCCTTGTCCTCCTTAAGGAGTGTTTATTTCCTGTCTACTTATTAGCCCATTAGTTGCACTTTTGTTTGCTTATTTCTAGTATGTTGTGGAATAAAAATCAGTTAAACTGGGGAGGCATTCTTCTATGATTAGTAGCATGAACTGCAATGTACCATCCTATGACCTCTGCTTTGGAGTAAGTAAAGAGTATGGACTTGGCAGTTGGAGGACCTGGGTCCTATTCCTGTTTCTACACAAATTGCTGTATCTATCTGCTCTCAGTTACTCACCTACAAAACAGGGGTTTGAACAAGCTGGGCTCTAGGTTCCCTTCTGATCCTAACATATTAGTATGCTAACAACAGGTCATTATATGTATACTTATACATTAAATAAACCAACTATAAGATGGGGAACAGGAGTCTCAACAGACACAGATTACTGCCTGCTGAAGAACTTGAACGTGTTTGTGGTCTATGACGATTTAAAACAGAATCAATTATGAATGAAAAGACATGCTTTTATCATTAACAGTTCCCATTCACAGCAATTTCTTTCATGTAACTTCTCCATGGCCTCTTTGGTTCTGTAGTGCCTGTAACATAGATATTTTCAAGTGAAACCAACCAGAGATCATTTGGATTGAGGGACATGCCTCATGAGAGTGTGTGTGATAAATAACCTCCTTCCTTGTAACGTCTGGGCTTAAGAACTATTTCATGATGGCAGTTAAAGTGTCATCACCTGCAGAGCCACACTAACCCAGAGACCAGGTGAACGTGCTCAGGTGGCACCCATGGGAAAATACGAAGCATATACACTTTTAAAAGCAGGGAAGAGAAAGCTAGTAGCCTGGAGCCCTGGAAATTCAACCTGTAACCCAGAATAGAATCTTGGAATATTAGAGAGACCTTTTAGAGCTACTTTAATCTCTTTCCTTCTAGAGAAAACTGAGATCCAGAGAGGGGAATTGATTTTCCCAACGGCAGAAAGATAACCATGAGCATCCTCTGATATCAATTTGTTTTGGAACTATACTGACACTGGGGGAAAGGAATGCGCCAACCCAGAGAGTACATGACAAAAGACACAGACACTTGGCCTAACAATGTTTTAGCTCAAGGACCTTTTAAAACCCTATCTTGTGTGAATGGACTGTCTTCCAGAGAGGATGTAGCTCAATGAGAGCTCCAGCCATAACCTAAACAAAGGGGTCACTGGCCCTGGTTAATATTTGCAGTCCCAGCTGTGGATTGTCAAGTTCTACAAAGATCATTTACCTCTGAATACAGTGAGTGATTAAGCTGTATCTTCTGTTGGACTGTCCCATCTCTGAGGTCATCATGCCAACATAATGGTGGGAAAGGTCTTATCAAATGCAGACACAAAGTTCATAATGATAGATTGCCATGTGGCTAAAGATCACAGGTTCTTCCTTTTTATATTTCTTACTGTGGGCAACCACTTTCCTTTAAGCAAACCAAAAACAAACTCGCTGCCATTGAGTTGGAGTTGGGTTTCTGAGGAAGTATCTCTGTGGAAGTAGATTGCCCAACCTTCCTTCCGAAGAGTGGCTGGTGGGTTGAACCGCCAGCCTTTTGGTTAGCAGTCAAGTGCCTCAGGCACTATGCCACCTTTAGGTCATTGCTACTTAGAGCACTAACATGTGCATGCATGCCCTCATTTTTTTATTTTTATTTTTTTCCTTTCAACTCAATTCAACAAGCATTTATACACAAAGTTCTATCTGGACTATAATGTGTGTGTGTGTGTGTGTGTGTGTGTGAGGGGGATGCCAGAATTACTTATTTATTGCATGAGCTTAATAAATAAGTCTTCTGCCTGAGGGAAATGAAAATTAGGGGAGAATTAGATAAGTCTATGTGTCACAGCATTGTCAGGGTGTATAACTGTAAGGAAAGACAGGTAGCCCCAGGATTTAAAGAAGGGAAAAATTATGTCCAGCTGAAGGGAATCAGAAAATGTGTAGCTGAAGAGAAAGCCCTTTGAGGTGAAGACTTAAAAGTGAGTTGGATTTAGGTAGGTGGAGATAATGGGTAGAGGATTAGGGGGTTTTAAGGAGACCATCTAAGCAGAGGGAATAGCCAAGGCCTGTTACACCCTTTCAGGATCCCTGAGTGGTGCAAATAGTTAATGAGCTCAGCTGCTAAAGGAAACATTGGAGGTTCAAGTCCACCAAGAGACTCCTCAGAAGAAAGGCCTCTTCTAAGAAGAAAGTGCTCTACTTCTGAAAATCTAGCCATTGAAAAGTCTATGGAGCACAGTTCTACACTGACATACATGGGGTCATCATGAGTCAGAGTGGACTTGACAGCAACTGGTTTACTAGTTAGAAGTATTCAGGTTCTTGCCATCTTCCCCAGTTTAAGGGAGAAGCTCTGGTGAGGACACAGAGCTGAGAGGAGAGATCTATAGAGGAGAGGTCAGAGTTTGTTTTCTATGCATTTTCTAACACAGTAGAAACAGCACAAACCTGCTGGCAAAATCTGAGGTAGGGCAGCAGGAAGTTGGCCAGATTTCCATGGGAGAACAGCTACTACTGCTTTCCACTGGTTCATAGAATCATGACATCAGAACTTCCAAGGTATGCTAATAGTTGATAGGTGCTAATCAGCTCTCTGGAGCAATGCATGGAGAAAGATTTTTTTTTTTTCTCTCATTTTATGGATGGGAAAGCGAAGCCCCAGCAGTTTAAATGAACTGGGCAAGATCGTATGCTAGCGAATGGTGGATCCAAACGCAACTGCAGCATCTTGATTCCCAAGCCAGTGCTCTTTTAAGACATGAGACAAACCAATGAAGACCAAATGTCTCACCAAAATGCCATCCAAATGGTTTTTATTGTCAATGTCCCCA